CAAACTCCCATGCCCCCTCCATCACCCTTGCAAGGGTATAGAGCTGGTCCACAGTTCCACGGCCAGGACGAAAACCACATTGCTCCTCCTCTATCTGAGATTCAACTATCGATCGGACCCTCCTCTCCAGTACCTTGGCGTAGACCTTTCCAGGGAGGCTGAGGAGTGTGATCCCCCTATAGTTGGAACACACCCTCAGGTCACCCTTCTTAAAGATGGGGACCACCACCCCGGTCTGCCACTCCCTAGGAACTGCCCCCGATGACCACGCAATGTTGTAGAGACGTGTCAACCATGACAGCCCTACAACATCCATAGCCTTAAGATACCCAGGACGAACCTCATCCGCCCCCGGGGCTCCGCCGCTGTGCAGTTGTTTGACTACCTCAGCAACTTCTGCCCCCGAGATCGGACAGTCCATCCCCAGGCCTCCCAGCTCTGGTTCCTCCTCGGAATGCACATTGGTGGGATTGAGGAGCTCCTCAAAGTATTCCTTCCACCGTCCGACTATAGCCTCAGTTGACGTCAGCAGCTCCCCATCCCCACTGTAAACAGTGTGAGCGAGTTGCTGCCTTCCTCTCCTGAGGCGCCGGACAGTTTGCCAGAACCTCTTTGGAGCCGATCGATAGTCTTTCTCCATGGCCTCACCAAACTCCTCCCACGCCCGAGATTTTGCCTCGGCAACTGCCACTGCTGCACCCCGCTTGGCTATCCGGTACCTGTCTGCTGCCTCCGGAGACCCACAGACCAGCCACGCCCTGTAGGCCTCCTTCTTCAGCCTGACAGCTCCCCGAACCTCTGGTGTCCACCAGCGGGTACGGGGGTTGCCACCACGACTGGCACCGGCCACCTTACGACCACAGCTAGCAACAGCCGCCTCGACAATCGCAGAGTGGAACAAGGCCCACTCGGACTCAATGTCCCCCACTGCTCTCGGGACGTGGTCAAAGCTCTGCCGGAGGTGGAAGTTGAAGACCGTCTTGACAGGTTCTTCTGCCAGGCGTTCCCAGCAGACCCTCACTATGCGTTTGGGTCTACCAGGTCTACGCGGCATGTTCCCCTGCCATCTGATCCAACTCACCACCAGGTGGTGATCAGTTGACAGCTCCGCCTCTCTCTTCACTCGGGTGTCCAAAACATACGGCCGCAGGTCAGATGATACTACTACAAAATCTATCATCGACCTGTGACCTAGGCTGCCCTGGTACCAAGTGTACCGGTGGGCATCCTTATGTTCGAACATGGTGTTCGTTATGGCCAAACTGCGGCTTGCACAGAAGTCCAATAACAAAACACCGCTCGAGTTCAGATTAGGTGGGCCGTTCCTCCCAATCACACCCCTCCAGGTCAAGCTGTCATTGCCCACGTGAGCATTGAAGTCCCCCAGCAGGACAATGGAGTCCCCTGATGGAGCACTATCTAGCACTCGTCCCAGGGACTCCAAAAAGGGTGGGTACTCTGAACTGATATTTGGCCCATAAGCACAAACAACAGTCAGGACCCGTTCCCCGACCCGAAGGCGCAAGGAAGCTACCCTCTTGTCCCCCGGGGTAAACCCCAACACACAGGCAGAGAGTCTCGGGGCTAACAAAAAGCCAACCCCAGCCCTCCGCCTCTCACCCGGAGCAACTCCAGCAAAGTAGAGTGTCCAACCCCTCTCCAGGTCTCGGGTTCCAGAGCCAATGCAATGTGTCGAGGTGAGTCCGACTATATCTAGCCGGTACCGCTCAACCTCTGCCACAAGCTCCGGCTCCTTCCCCGCCAGCGAGGTGACGTTCCATGTCCCAAAAACTAGTTTTCTTGTCCGGGGATTGGACCGCCAAGGCTCCCGCCTTGGTCTGCCACCCGATTCGCATTGCACCGGACCCTTCATGTTCCTCCTGCGGGTGGTGGGTCCACAGTTGGACGAGCCCATGTATCCGGTTCGGGCTGGGCCCGGCCGGGCCCCATGGGCGAAAGCCCGGCCACCAGGCGCTCGCTCACGGGCCCCAACCCCAGGCCTGGCTCCAGGGTGGGACCCCGGTAACCCTCCGGGCCGGGTACTCCGACTCTTCGTTTTAACCGCCATGAAAGATCCTTCGAACCGTTCTTTGTCTCACCCTCACCTAAGACCAATTTGTCATGGGAGACCCTACCAGGGGCACTAAGTGCCCCAGACAACATAGCTCCTAGGATCATTAGGGCACTCAAACTCCTCCACCACGATAAGGTGACGGTTCAAGGAGGAGACTGAAAATAAGGATTCTACAATCCATTGCTCCAAGTGAGGAAGACAGTACCATCACGCCGGATGTTAAAAATGCTATCAGGGAAGACTTAAAGCCCAGATACACTTCACCTCCAACTCTGGAGGAATATCTTCACAGATCTACTGCACTTGATCCCAGGTTCAAGTCTTTATCCCGCCTGGACCCGGCCATATGCCAAATGACATACAATGATGTCACCAGTGAGATTGTGAATACTCTGGGCACTAAAGACATTGAACAGGTAAAGAAATAAATATTTTATTTGCCTTAAATAATTACTTTATAGCTGACTGTTTTCCAGACACCGATTGCGCACAATCACTGGCGCCTAATTTCTAAGTCCAGTGGAAAGGAGTGCAACCCCACAGAGCCACCAAACCCACTACACTACACCTTCTCACCATACTAGCACGATATGGAACATTAAACCCGAACTACTTTCATAATAACACTAACAGCCAAACACTAACTAAACTACAATATCCAACAGCCAAGCTAACACTAAATAAGTATGTATAACACTAAAAGCTATGCTAAAGATTAGGATATGCTAACGCTATATGCTAATGCTGAACTACCGCTAACCGTCCTACACTCACTTGCAAATCCAACTCCCAACTCGCCTCAAGGCGTGGTCGAGACTCTGCTTTCTAACTTTGACACAGAGCTGCTACGTAGTACTCTACTGGTTTACCTAGCACAGTGTTTCCCCTAGGAAATTTTCCAGCTGTGTGTGTGTGTGTGTGTTGGGGGGGGGGGGGGGGGGGTCTTGGGGAGAAATTATGACACGTCTCTAAATAAAGTAAAAATTTCCAGTGCAGATTGGAGACAACCCATAGAAGCACTGATTTAATCTCATTTCAGAGAAAAATAGAACAGGTCAGATGCACCTACTGAATAAAATTACTAACAAACTCAGGAACCTTTCTTTGCTTCACTGTTCTGGTGCTGAGAATATCACTAATGCGGATCAAAGGAGATACACAGATGAATGCACCTCTTATTATTTGGAAACTACATTTACTGCAGCTGGCAGAGGCAGAGATTTTTTCTATTGATACACGGAATTTACAGAATCATTTTAATTTTTAATAGGGGAAGACTGCAGGAGGGAGCGGTAAAATACAGGGGGTCCTCTTTCGAGTCTGATAAAACCTGCTGGTTTTCCATCAGGCAGTCACGGGGCAGCTCCAACGACCCAGTGGCTGTGCTGGGTCAGTTATCGAGCCCAGTCCTGTACCGGCTCGGCCGTGAACGAGCCGAGGCGACGTCGTGCTCTGCTTAAGAAGAAGCGTTATTTTCCCGCTTAGGAAGAAGAGTCCAACGTGTTTTTACGCTTTCTCCGAGACATGTCGCGTCGCTAAGTTGTTAGCGCCGCTCGCTAACACGTCAATAGTGCAGCGTAGCCTGCTGGAGGTTTTAAGGGTTCAGATGAAAACACCCGACCTCTCACGCTGCTCACGCATCGATCTTAAGTTGTCGCTGTTGCGCTCACGCCGTAATACAGTACTAGATGCGGTTAAAGTCAGACATGAAAAAATAAATACATTTTACATGAATAAGTGATGCTTAGCCTTGTGGGGGGAGGTAAACCTGGCCTAGTAAGCACTGGAGGAAACCCTGTCAAGATCGTCAACACTCGTTTATCCTAATGCTATTGAAACATGTAAACCAACAAGCATTATATCCACTGCTACCTTTCTAATTTTAAATTCAGTAACTTATGCTGTAACTTCACCTTGCCCTGCCTCCTCCTTTCTTCTTGCTGCCCGCCGGCTGTGATCACAAGCGACAACATAGTAGTTCCCGCTGCTTCTTCGGGAAACTGTGCAAAAACAAATAAATAAATAAAACTTGGGATCTTGTAGGCGTGGCGGTAAGATTTCAGCCGTGGTGTGCCGCCACGGCTACGCCTATGTAAGGGGAACCCTGTAGTATCTTTCTCTTTAGCCATTGGCTAAAGTGTATTCAAAATGACTCAAACTCTGTTTTAAGCTGAAGGTGGCGCTATACTGTGGTATTTAGGCAGAATTTTTAATTTTTAAAGAAAATGCACCAAAATGCTAAAATAATGAATACACACATTTAAAACACTATTAGACACTCATTTATACAGTTCATCAGCAAAAAAAAGTTAATTTAGACGTTACTTGCTCTTTAATAACATATAAGATCATGTTTCATCAGAGTTTATTCATTGTTTCTGTTGATTTTACTTTGAATCACTGTTTAGAATCATTTGCCCTCCATCATCATTAGTAGTGGAAATATTGTAATACATTGATTTTTATAAACTATATTTTTGCCTCTGTGTCAAATTATTATAAAGTATTGTTTCCCTGGCTTACCCAATTACCTATTTATATCATAAATAGAATATTCAATCAATTTGATAATCCACCATTTTATGGAATATTGAATTTTATTGAACACATTTATATTTTATTATATTTATTAAAAGCAACCACTTACAAAATATTACAGTAGTTAGCTTGATCTAAGACTTAAATACAAAATATAAATGGCATTTTTTTTGTAGCCATTAAAAAGGAAAACAATTGCCTTGTCATTTTTGGATTGTTTGTTTTCCATCAAAAATACACAGAACAAATGATACATGGGTTATGGTTCTCACTAACATTTGCTAGGATTACCCGTTTCTACTGCCACAAGATCCTCTGATAGCAGTCCTTTATGCTAATGTTCTTGTTATCAAAGAGTTTTTATTTGTCTTTTCTTTTGCCCTGTTAGACACCGGAGAGAAAACAGGAACCAAGGCTCCACTGGTTGAAGTCCCAGGCCCCATCTCTAATCCTATTTATTCCGTCAATGTTGAGAACATTGAGGCTGCTTATGAAGATGGTGATGAGGAGGCTGCCAGGGAGCTGATTCAACAAGCCTGCTGTGTGAAGTGTTCTTCTGGTTTCCAACCTGATGGAGTAAGTCTCAACCCACAGTGCTGGCTGGGCTGTAGTGATCAAGTGATGTATGACTTTTCGGATTTTTCCAATGGCAATACTCAGCGTGACTCAAGAGGGTGTGGTTTGGTCTGGCCACTTTTTCCAACCACACCCACCTCCACATGCAACACGTTCACGCTTTTTAGAGAACCAGAGCCTCATTTATAAAGCTTCTTTATGCATAAAATGGGGTTTGAAAACTGCACAAGTCATTTCCTACACAAACTTTGTGATATATAAAGAAAACCTTGAGTGGAAAAATGACAACTTTAATGAAAAGGTGATTTTGAGGTGAACAGCCCAAAATTGGGATATTGGGGTGATCACCCCAATATCTTGATATCACACTTCCCACAGCCGAGCCGGTCGTTGTGATGCATCATTTGTGGGGGTGCACGCTGCCATGTGAACCGTATTTAAGTCAGCAGGAGATGAATAATAAAGAGAACAAATTCCCCGGTGCATAATAAGGGCACTGCTTGCTAAAGCAGCAGGTCCCTCAACTAGAAAATTCCTGATGAAATTTTAAAAAGGGACCTAGCAACTGGCACAAAACAGTGTTTATGCAAATACAAAACATGCCACACACTCAAAGTTTGAAAGGGTGGCTTAATCTGCCCCAAATGACGACATATTTCGAAGTTTTAACTGATTAAGCAGATTAAGACATGCACAAAGTTTAAAAATTTAAAGAATTGCATCATCACAGCCAAAGTTATTCTAAAACACAAACACAGCTAACCGCCATCTGCTGCACCGCATATGGCATGAAAACTCGTCACTGACCGTAGTGCACCATGGAGTGACTGTCTGTTGATTATACAATGTCCAACTAATTTCACCGCTGTGCGTGATACTTATAGCTCACTTTGATGCTAGCAAAACAAATAATTGCTCATATATAAAGCAAGACATTACTAACAAAACAATTGGTCTAAACACTGAAGCAGTCAGGCGTGAAAACGGGTCAAGGGTGAAAAGGTGAGAGCCCTAACCACAACAAAGCAGAAAAGATAAAGCGCCGCCGTTAACACCTGTCTTTAGTGCCAGCTCATGACCCAGCTCATCTTCCTCAAAGAGGAAGTACCATTTTTAAAACTCTCGCTTTGGCGTCAGACTCTGGCTGCGGGTCTCCTTTTGCTGTCTTCCATCTAACCCGCTGATCTGTCTGCTGGACATTCATACTTCTCCTTTATACATAAAAATTCCCTAAACTACAGAGAAATCACACCCGTCACAGATTGTACCGATATCCAAACTTTGCTGTGAATTCTTTCTCACTGTGTGGAGCTTCCTCTGTCCCCCTGCAGCAAAAGGCTACTGAACGAAACCCATCCTTATCGTTTGAATATGAGAAATTTCCACCAACAGAAAAGGAATCTCGTGTTTTTGTGTTTCATTTTTTATGTTCGTGAGCTCATCTCCCCCTGACAATCGCAGTTTTTTGTCACGCCTCTGCTTAGGACGAGGGATTTGGTTAAGAACCAGCCATTAAAAGGTAAACTAAAGATTCCTCCCAATTTACTTTAAGTTGAATTTAACATAATTTGAAGTCACCTGGTTCATTAAACAAAATAAACTTTAGCAATAACTTCTGCAAGCATACACATCAGCAAAATGGTGTTCTTCTTTCTCTCTGGCCGTTCTCTTGCCCAGAGCTCTCAGCTCCTCCGTGTCGCCCCCCCACCCGCACCTCGGAGTATCACAGAAGAGTCTGACACAAAGGCTGATACCAAAATGACCCAACGTTTCTGACGCCATCAAGGAGAGGAGGAGGAGGAGGAGGAGATTTTTAAGTTCTAAGCCTGTTATCCACTCCCCCACCCGTCCTGAGCCAAAAGCCACGCTTCCTAACGTGCACGCGCAGGGAAAGCCGAGTCAACAGAGAGAGCATCGCTACTTTGACTCAGAGCTGAGCTAGCGTTAGCATTGGAGTTTTCTAAGGTAAGGATGTTTTTTCCGACCAAAATTTGGCTACTTACTGCTAACAAAAGGTATTTTATAAAGAATATCTGTAAATATATATTTTAAAAAGATCAGTAAAAGTTGACATAATCTATATTATAAATAAACCCACTACTATCACATTGTTAGCATTTTATTAGGAGTCACTTGAATACTAGTAGTTTATCTTAGCATTAGCTCCATGTAGTAGTTTACATTTTATACTGCTATGTCATTCAAGAAGGGATGAATGTCCATTATGGTGTAGGAGTTATTAAGACACATCATGAGTAAACACCACATTCTGTGTGTCCTCTATAATCCGGCTTGGTACCAGAGGTTTACTGTTTACTTTTGGTGCGTACACATTAGCTTCGGTTCAGTCCCTTACCGTCCTTTCTGGGACCAAAATTTGGTTTCACACACAGGTCAGATTTATGCTTTCAGTGCTGAGGCGACTCTTATTTCAGACCTTCTCCCCAGCAGTCAGACTGGGACCGAGGCGACGCAACGGACTGATTGGCCGGCTGAAATTATGCCTACCGCCTCTGATCTGTGAGAAGAATTTTCATGCTGGATGTTGTTGAGTAAACTTCTGTCTGAAGCACGGAGCTGCCGTTCCGGGGCTGCCGATCAGTGTGGGAACGGGAGAAGAGAATAGCTCTGTGTGCATGTGCCTGTTCTCCACATCGGAGCTCTTGCCCCAGCGAGCAGACATCTGCTCAGGGGAGAAATCTGTGTGTGTGTGTGTGTGTGTGTGTGTGTGTGTGTGGGTGTGGGTGTGGGTGTGGGTGCGTGCGTGCGTGCAACACAACTCATGCCCACATTTGTTTACCTTAAAATGGAGGACACTGTGGACTTTCCCACACATATTAAGCTCCGCCCACAGGCTCGGGGATTTCCGTTTTCCTGAGAAGTCTCGGATTTATATGTGAGCACTACACCGTCTGTTTGAGACCAAGCTCACGCCATCCAGCCCGACCGTGCCAGCACTAATGTGTAAGCGCCATTAGTGTGTTTGGTGCTGGGTTACAACACATCCAACATTGGTTTAGGCCTCATCTGAACCAGTTTAAACCTGACTTAAATGCTTTTGTGTGTCAAATTGAATTTACTACACAAGAATATTATTTTATATTTACACTATTTATTCTAACACTAGAGCAGAGTGATGGAAGAGTCATCTGATGAAGAGTTTAGACCTCCTGGCGACCTTACCTGAAGCTCAGAATCTTGGATCAGAACACTGGCTTGAGCAGGTAAGCGCAATAATATTACAACAAAAATAATACTCAATACTGTTGTAGTAATACATCTTTCCCTGTTATAGCAACAACTGCGAACTGTCACAGGCCAATGACGAGCAGGACGAAGACACTAGTACTGTTTGATGTCCTTACCCTCTCGTCTCCTGGAACTACTCCTACTATCAATGCAACCTTCTTAGTCTGTATGTCCCTGCTATTGAGATGCCAAATGGTTTATGAACGGATTTTACTGCCAATGGTCTGCCAAGAATTGTCCCACAAATGAGCTGTTTTGCCTGACCAGGACACTGTGGAACAAATTTTGAGCTGCATCTTACAAACCGTATGTAGCATGGCTACATGACAAATGGGGGGAGACCACCTAGTAGCAATTCCAAGTTGTGTAGTCTGAAGGATGAGGCACAAATTCCCTAACCTCAATGGGAATTATGTTGGATTTATACCAAGAAGATTTTAAGCACTAATCTAATTAGTAATTTACAATATTGTCTGATATGACTAATGTAACCTTTTCCAGCTCGTCTCTTTTACTGTGATGTGTTCAATTTTCAAAATAAAGTGTTATAAAGCCGAACTCCTCTGTTTCATCTATAAACTACCATAAATGTGAAACTCTTCCATGACAACAGAGTGATCTCAACCTCTACCTCAGACATTTTCCATACGTCTCTAAATAATTAGTCCAGATATGAACTAATCTTTATGTTTATGTATATATTTAGATTTTAAATGTGCCAACAGTAAAACCAGACAGTATTTTGTTTTTATTTTGATCCCCCCAAAACCTGTTTCTGCATCAAAGCTTGACCTGTAAAAAACAAAAAAGATATCTATTAGAATCATATTTATATGGGCGAGACATAAGGCAGAATATACTTCATCATCACCATAAGTCTGTTGATGGTGGGACTCCAGATGAGGAATCGTAATTTCTTAGATCCTCAGGCCTTGGTTTGTAGCAGCAAGGAGGTCGAGCGTTGTTTACCACCATGGTTTGAAGTTCTGGGATGGAGTCGCCATCTTTGGCCACCTTCTAAGGCCTAGTTCTGCGTCATTTGCGGAGACATGTAACGCCATAATTCGTTCTTGCGAGGGCTTTCTAGCAGGCTCGCAAGGACGGACGAAGTTCAGCACAGTTTTCTAAACATCCATCGTACGGAGAACACAAGCTTGTGATTGATCAGGACGCCGCTTTCGTCAACGGCACCACCTTTGTGCCCTCAAAAATAGATAGTCAGAGATATCTAGCTGTAGACACAGAGCAGCTTGAGTATACCTCCTGGAAAATCTCTAAAAATATGAATGTTTCATTTACTCGTGACTGGAGGAGTGAAAAGATGTGCAGCAAGCATTTTATTTGTAGATGGAAATTACTGTGAATGTGGGTTTAGAGGTGGTGAGCACATGAAGAGGTGGAGGAGAATGAGAGACAACTTTGTCTGTATTTAAAACGTCTCTAAAATACAAAACACAATATAAACACATTAGTAAACACGTCATCTTGGACCGGATACATGACAGTATACTACAGAACAGCGCTACGCCCTCTGGTGTCCTGGTGGGTAATTGATTTGCAACACTCCCCAGGAGACGGAGGGTTAGGGTACGAGGGCAACTTGTCTCTGTCAGCGCATGTGCATCTCTCCCTTGTGGAGCTGATGCAGAAGCATAAACTGCTTTAAAATACAGCTCCCAGCACTGTGATGTCTATCTGAAATGAGACATGTAATCATTTGTAGTAGTAAAGTGACCGGTAAATCGAGAGCTTCGCCTTCTGACTCGGCTGTCTCTTCACCACAACAGACCAGTACAACGCCCGCATCACTGCAGATGCAGCACCAATCCGCCTATCGATCTCGCGCTCCAGCTTTCCCTCACTTGTGAACAAGACCCCAAGATACTTAAACTCCTCCACTTGGGGCAGGACTTCATCCAGGAGGAGGCATTCTAGCCTTTTCTGACTCAAGACCATGGTCTCAATCAATCAATCAATCAATCAATCAATCAATCAATCAATCAATCAATCAATATCAATCAATCAATCAATCAATCAACCAATCTTTATAAAGTGTCTTACACCGCCTTTGAGGGAGCCCAAGGCGCTGAAACAAAAATACACAAAAAACAGAGAGCAATAAAAAGGAGATAAAAGCAACATACAGACATAAAAGCAAAGTACTAAATGTAAAAGGAGCTTAAAAGCATAAAACCAAGTCACATAAAAGCCAAATGATAAAAATGAGTCTTCAAACGACTCTTGAAAACCTGCAGTGATGGTGACAGTTTAATATTGAATGGAAGCTCATTCCAGAGAGGAGACCAAGACTGAGAAAGCCCGATCTCCTCTAGACCTAGTCTGTGGGATAGTCAGTAGCTCCAGGTTAGCTGAGTGCAGAGTTCATGATGGGGTATGTCTTTTTATTAGTGCTGCCAAGTATGGTAGAGCACCACTCTTTAGAGACTGGAAGACATAGCACAGACCTTTAAACTTTGCCTGAAAATCTACAGGGAGCCAGGCAGCTTTATTTCTAGAACACATTTCAAACACCAAGGCATTTCACTGTGCTGTGCGATTATCAGTATATGATATGAAAACAACATAAAACACAAATTAAAATACTCGCAAATGGAATTACAGTTTAGAGCTAAAGGAGAAGACAAAGTTATCTCACAGATTACAGTGGAGACGACGAATGATAAGAAATAATTCATGTAAATGCTGATGACTACATTAGGGTTTATGTTTTGTTTTAAACAACACTAGGGTTGGGGCACATCTGAGGTCATGGGGAAGCTGATTCCATATGTGAACAGCATAGTAACCAAATGCATCTCCAGCATGATTGGTTCTGATCCGAGGTTCCACCAGCTGATTGTTTCCAAGGGATCTCAGAGCCCTATTGGGTGTATATACAGGAATGAGATCAGGCATGTATTTTTGTCCCATGCCATTAAGTGATTTATTAACTAGTAGGAGCACTTTGAAATCTATTCTGTAGTTTACTGGTAACCAGTGTAGGGATCTAAGAACAGGAGTAATGTGCTCCGTTCTCTTAGTTCTTGTTAAGACTCTAGCAGCAGCATTCTGAACAAGCTGCAGTTGCTTCACAGCTTTTCTGGGAAGACCAGTTGGGAGACCATTGCAGAAGTCCAGCCGACTAGAAATAAAAGCATGAATACGTTTCTCTAAGTCTGGTCTGGACACGAGACCTCTGACTCTTGATGTTTGATGAAGGTGATAAAACGTTGATTTAGTTGTAGCCTTAATATGTCCAGAGAATCTCAGGTCTGAGTCAATGACACCAAGATTTCTAACCTGGGTCTTTGTCTTTATTACCCTGGAGTCTAGCTGAGCAATAACATCCATTCTATCCTTCTTGTTGCCAAAGGCAATAACTTCAGTCTTGTCTTGGTTTAGCTGAAGGAAGTTTGACTGCATCCAGTCGTTTACTTGTTCTAGGTACTGACAGAGTGAGTCCAGTGGACGACAGTCACTAGGTGATTGGGCTAGGTAGATCTGGGTGTCGTCAGCATAGCTATGATAGACGATGTTATTAGGTATGACCTGACCCAGGGGGAGGATATAGAGATTAATGAGTAGTGGTCCTAGAATTGAGCCTCGGGGGACCCCTCATGTCATGGTGATCCGCTTTGATTGGTAGTCCCTAATAGAGACAACATAGCTCCTGTCTTTGAGATAGGACTGGAACCAGCCAAGCACTGTGCCTGATATGGGTACAATCTCCATTTCTGGGCTTCAACGTCAGCAAATAGCTGAGTAAACTCGGCGCTGAGTGAGAGGAGTTTTTAGTTTGTCCGAGACAGCGGAGCTGCAGACACCGGCAGCAGATGCTGGAATAAACACAAAGGAGGGGGCGCTTCGGTTCCGCGCTAACGCCTCAGTGCATCACGGGAGTTGTAGTCTTTGCGGTAAAATCAGCCAGCGGGTCAGTTTTAATGTCTTTTAAATATTTATCTCGCGGGCCTCATAAAAATGCTCCGCGGGCCTTGTTTCTTGTCACTGGAAACTACACACTGCAACTTTAACTAAAAATAATCTTCTGAAACAAATATAAGACTACATCTTTTCAAAATTCAGTGATACGATTTTAGACTAGAATTCACACTCAAATGAAAAGAACTATAAAGACACCCATCAAGCACACCCATTTGGGTTCACCATGGACTTTAGTGGGCTGTGTCTGGGGTAGTATAGGCAGGGCAAACCCACATTTACCCCAGAGTTAATGCACAAAGATCTTGTGTGTGAATGGGGCAAGTATGTCTTTTACCACATGGGTCCCATTTGGATTTAGTTGAGGGCAACACACAGATATATCCGCCCAAATCCGTCCCATGAATGTTTGCACTTATGTGTTAACTGTTCATTTCTGTGGGCACCCCACAGTAGCATCTGCCTCAAAACTACCCACAGTGGCCCCATGGGTGTGAGCCAACATGGTGACTCCAGCAGTCTGCCAACGTTATTCCCTCATGGGGATTTCTGTGGGCTCTCCATAGTGTTATGTGCCCAAAAACTTTCACCACATGGGCTGACACTCCCAGGGTCACTGTGGGTAATTTTTAATCAGATACTATTAGGAATGCACCAAACATGAAAATTCTTTGCCGAAACTGAAAATGAGGAAACATTAATTTGCTTCCTTCGATTCATTTTCATGTTGGATGATGTTGAGTAAACTTCATCTGTAGCACGGAGCTGCCGATTTATTTTTTTATTTTTGTTCTTGTGAAGCGCCTTGTGGTTTTAATCTTGAGAGGTGCTACATAAAAAATAGTTTCTCATCTTTTTCTCATTGGATCTCATCTTGAGAGGTAACAGCAACAGATTCCAAATACAAATAGCACACCTGAAATGAACTCTGGACCTTTTGTCTGCACATTGTAATTCCTACAGGTGAGATGTAGATGACTGTATTCTTCTGCTCTAAGAGACTAAGTGTTTTATTTTGGGCTTTTTTGTGAAGTGTTCATAATGTGTGTCTTCTTCCAGCTTCGTCTCTTGTCTGTGGCTTCTCTGCACGGTGACCTTCGGAGCATCTGTTACCTTCTAAAAGAAGCTCATATTCCTGTGCCCCAGGAGCCATCATCAAACAACCCAGCCATGTTGGCAGCTTTTCATGGTCATACCAGCCTGCTCAAAGAACTGTTGGATACCATACCTGGTGAGAGAAGAAACCAGTATGATTGAGGGTGTATGGTTGGCCCTTTTCTTTGTTTAGCAGTTCATCGTCAATTCTGATGTAGTGTCAGCAGTGGTATCTAGGCCAAGAGAGAGGAGGTTACTATGCAGCTTCCTTACAGTACCAAGTTGTTGATAATTAAATGTAATCAATCTGTGACCAAGAGAAAACTAGTTTTCAAGGTTGAATTATTGACGAACAAATGATGAAACAATTAGCTCAAACCTGCGCTGGTTTCTTCCCCTTACCTGTCAGGTGTGTGTCTAAAGAGGGACTTTGTAAACTGCCTGCTAATCACATCCTGCCAGCGGGGTCACCTGGATGTGGTCCGTCTGCTCGTCCACGGCTACAATGCTGATGTCAGGGATTTCGCCACCCACGACAATGAGTTTGCGGTCATCACCAGGCAGCCGCTGTATGCAGCTGCGAAAGCAAGTAGGGAGAAACAACAGTTCTTTCCAGTTTACTACATTTAAAGTATTCAACCCATAAACTGTAGGCAAGCAGCCTACTTCTGCTTTATGTCACAACATTAGAAAATGTGTTCTGTAGGATGGCTCTCTGTTAGGGATGCTCCAATCAGGATTGTTGATGCCAGTTACTGACGTCAGTCACATGGATTGGCCATAAATGTTCTATGAAGGTACGGGTGCTACAGACTAATTTATCTGTGAAGAAAGAAGCAATAACATGACTTTAAATGGCCTGTATTCATTTAGACAAAAACATGTTGTCATTTTTTTAAAGAACAATCAGTGTGTTTGTTTCTGACCACAACTTCTATGTCTCCTCCCAACCCAAAGTTTAGAAATGAAGATGCCTCATTGCATCTTAAGAAAACCAGAAGAGTCCTGCTGTTTTCAGTTAAATCTTGTAGGATGATCATGTCTACTCCTACAGGCTGAAGCACAAAGCATCACAATGACTTATGGGGTGATGGTGGCACAGGAGTTAAGTGCTCGCCCTGTAATCGGAAGGTTGCAGGTTTGAGCCCCACTCAGTCTGTCACTGTCGTTGTGTCCTTGGGCAAGACACTTAACTCCCCTTGCCTGCTGGCGGTGGTCGGAGGGAGACTGCAGACTCCACTCTGTCACCGTGCCTCAGGGCAGCTGTGGCTACAGTGTAGCTTATCATCACCAGGGTGTGAATGTGTGTGTGAATGAGTGACTGACTGTGTTGTAAAGTGCCTTGGGGGGTCCCAGGCCTCTAGAAGGCCCTATATCAAATACAGGTCGTTTACCATTTTAGAAGACAATCCCGCTGCCTTGCTGCAATGCTGAGCTGGGTTGCTCTCAGGTTGTATCACTAGCTTATAGCCAGCGTATGGCCCTTGGCGGTTTATTTCTTTGCTCTTTTCAGATGAAAGTTTGGTAAAATTTATGAATACTGGAAAAAAAAATATTTCTAGATCAACCAAACTCTGTGAAGGCCATGTTTATGTGGGAGTCCTTGGAGGCTTATCTGAGGGGTTAAACTATTACTTACTGTGTGAATGAGAAACAGAAAAGAGATGAGGGTGAAACCATTGTTGGGAGAAGGTGAAATCTTGAGATGAGGCCCTTACCCACTGCCCCCCACTGACTCTGAATAACAATCACATGGCACTTGTTCGACAGCCCATATAGGCTAATTCTATATCACATTGTGAACATGGAGAGAGAGCAGGACAAATGATTGCATATCAGCTGCGTCAGAGATCTGCCTCTCAGATCAAGACGCTTGTACAATCATCGACTCATATTTCTGCTGTATAACTATTTCCTCCATAAGTGTAGATCTGGTTTAGAATTTAGAAAAGGACATTTTGTCAACTGAGATTTTGTCTATCGGCAATATGCAGATAAGCAAATCTCCCAAGCCAGATGGCTTTCTGACCGAGATAGCTAAATTCTCGAGAAGGTCCTAGCTCAATGCCTTGAAACAGCGGTACTTAATCATTTCATCTGACCAGACGGGTTTGTGAAGGATAGACAATCCTCTGATAATGTTAGACATCAGTTTAACGTACTGTACATGGCGTGTGTGTGTGTGTGCGTGTGTGAGACTTTGGGTGTGTCTGAGAAATATATTGTGCTTCCACTCTGAGTAATGTACACAATCAGTGGTTTAAATGTCTCTGGTAGGCCTTTTATTATCATTGCGGCCAAGAATCCATGGCTCAGTGATTCACCAGCTGTTTTCAACATTATGATGATTGCTTCAGCTTGAGTTAAGTAATCTCTCACATTCTCATTCCTTTAGTTCTTGATTGAAGTTGGTTCAGTGTGGAGACATATCATTGGTTTGTTGTCTTGCAAATTCTTCAAATGTGTCCAACCATCATCAAGTGTGCCCCCCGTACAAACACACACACTCGCACACACCTTTTATCTCAGCACCCCGTGCACAAACAGCAGCAGCATCTAAATGATCACAACAGTTCAATTTTAATATCTGAACAACAGCAACAAGAAGAAGCAGCTCTGTTCCTGCAGCAAAGTCAGCTATAGTATCATCACATGGTTAGGGTTGATGTTTAGAAGAACATGTTTAACACTGACACATGCTGGAACTCAGGTGTGTTTAATCAGTTCTATCAGGAGAAGCTCCTCTCTGCAGCACTGTGGTAGCAATCCTCATGACCACCAGCATATCAGGGTAAACTTCGTTCAGTTTCTCTCAGTTTGGAAATTCAATGTCTCATGTCCCTTCAGCTGGAAGCAAATTAAACACACGTGTAAATATAGACATGGACCCTTCAGTAAAGTTGCACAGTCATGTATAAATGATAGGACATCAGGTAGTAAATTCAATTCAAGTTTATTTATATAGCGCCAAATCACGACAAGAGTCGTCTCAAGGCACTTCACATAATAAACATTCTAATTCACAGTTCATTAAGCCAATCAGAAATAATGTTTCCTATATAAGGAACCCAGCAAATTGCATCAAGTCACTGACGAGTGTCAGTGACTATACAGCAATCCTCATACTAAGCAAGCATGTAGCAACAGCAGAGAGGAAAACTCCCTTTTAACAGGAAGAAACCTCCAGAGAATCCTGGCTCAGTATAAGCAGCCATCCTCCACGACTCACTGGGGGTAAACACATCTGAAGCATAACATACTGTATGAACAACGGTATTATTTGGTAACGTGACTTCGGCTGTAACATGCTGTTATAGAACTCAGCTGTTTTAGCTGAACTTTAGACGTGAGAGGTCATGTGCTGCTGCTGATGCCACTGACCCCTTCTTGCCACCGGCCACGATATCGGTCGCGTAACTTCATTGCATTATTTACCTGCAAGCTCATTCCCAACTGCGGTCATTTCATACGGGAAACAGGAGTGAAAGCATTTCTACACAGCTCATCTGGGCTGCATGGTGGCGCAGTGGTCACCACTGTTGCCTCGCAGCACGAAGGTCGCAGGTTCGAAACTCGGCTGTGGCCTTTCTGCGTGGAGTTGCGTGTTCTCCCCATGCACGCGTGGGTTTCCTCCGGGTACTCCGGTTTCCCCCACAGTTCACAACATGCCCTACAGGTTATAAATTGTAAGTCGCTTTGGATAAAAGCGTCTGCTAAGTGAATAAACATCAACATAAACATCTCACACAGACACATACACAATAATACGCAAGGAGAAAGACAGCTGCATGTATCAAAAAAGCCCACTGTGCAAAGACCTGGCCTGGTCGTCCTACAGATGTGGTCTGGACCTATGGACTCAATATAGAGATGATGTGCATGTCCATGTGTTGTTGACTGTTTGCAGGGAGGTCTGTGGTTTATTTTCTGTTGCTTACATTGGCTATGGGGGTTATAACTGGAAATGACATACGTTTATGTCCTTCACGTGACTTTGAATTTGAAAGTTTCCTGATATGTGTTACACAGCTTTTGTGTTTCAATCAATCAATCAATCAATCAATCAATCAATCAAAGCTTTATTTATAAAGCGCCTTCCGCAACCCTGTCAGGAAGCCCAAAGCGCTGAACATTGTACAGTTGTATGTAGGGCTGCAGCTATCGAATATTTTTGTAATCGAGTACTCTATCGAATCTTTTTTTCGATTAATCGAGTACTCTAATAAATTACCCTTTTGTGTTTGTAAACCATTATATCAAATAGCATGTTATAAAATATGAAAGACCTCTTAAAATGAGCAATTGCCAGTTATTCTTCAAGTTTTATTCAAAATTAAGTTTGCAAAACTTCAGCACTTCAACTTTACTTCACAATAAACAAAGGCGTGTGCAAAAAATAAGTAAACAACCTGAGCCGATTTTCCCCTTGTGCGAGAATCTGCCAGCCTGCAAGCCAGACAAAAACTAGGAGGATAACTGCTGAAGTAGCGCTGCGAGCGGCTGCGGCCCAAACAGAACCAGAACCGCTCACGGCGCAAACAGCTCGCCCCTGTTTCCTTATTAACACACGTCCGTTTTAATTTCTACACTTTTTTTTCTCACACAATAACAAGGATTGTCGAGAAAGCATGTTTGCCATGGTTTTGTCAAATTATACTGATCACAAAACATTTATTTACTTTCTTTCGTTTTCCTCCACCACTCTCATAAATACCGTGTCCTCCTGCAGCAATCCCGAGGGACAACAAATATCAATAACAACAGAATAAAAAGTCCGACATATTGTGTAAAAACTGCTATTTTTTAGCACATTTTATGTCCGACGTGTTGCTACCAGACGTACGGTGTGAGCTGAAACCGAGTGCTACAAACGAAAAAGTCGCACAGTGTCTGCAGAATATACAGAAATACAGGCTAAAATGCTTTATCTTGTAGAGGCTCCGAGTCCGCTTGCAGAAGTGACATTTACATGTGGATGTTTCCTGGTCAGGTTGCAGCATCGAGGAATGTGGTGTTGTGGTAGGCTAAATCCACTTTACAGTATTTACACTGGAGTACGTTTTCCACCTTATGACGTGAAAAATGATTCCACAACTTTTACATTTTCTGTCTTTTTCGCACTCCACCGGGGTTCAAGTTATCCGCCATGGCTTAAGAGAAAGTTAAGTTACAATCGCTACTCGCGTGTGCAGTCCAGTGTGTATGTGCGTCACTTATTTCGGTCCGGGTGAAACATGACCCCGTGCGTTTGCAAAGCCATGAATTAATTAAATATGAATTAAACGAATCCTCGAGGCAGAGAATTTGACTCGAGGATTTTTTGTACTCGAATTATTCGAGGTACTCGAGGAATCGTTTCAGCCCTAGTTGTATGTAAATATATTGAATAAATCAACAATAAAAGAAATTCAAATTACAAAATACAAATTACAAAATACAAAATGGAAATGACAAGATAGATGAAACATTCTGGTAAAGGACAAATGTGTGAAACACATTTGGATTGAGTGGATGGATTGAGTGAACCAATGAAAACTGTGGAATGGATTCAACATAAAAGGGGGCCAAAATCAAACATGTTCTGGAAAC